TCTCTCTCTCTCTCTCTCTCTCTCTCTATTTTTTTCATTGATCCTACAGATTTCTCTACAACATCTCAATCTTTCACTCTTTATCTTGCGCTAATAAATTCCACACATTCCCTCTTTCCAATTATCCTCTCTTTCTAACACAATGTTCTCTATTACAGGTACAAAAACTGTTCAAAAGATGTTCATGTGTGGATTAAAAAAGAAATGATTTTGAAAACAGCCGGCATAAGTCCGCTCTCGCAGGTGCTGTATGCGATTACACAGGCTTTCACCCTGCGACATGATCGATAGCCTGTAAATGAACTGGAAGCCCTGAATAACAGGCAGGTTTATAAATGATTAGGGTCTGCTGGTCTTTCTTAGCCTCGTAATCTCTGCGACACGGAGCATCCCCAAAACAGAAATATGACCATCCTACTAGGAGCGAATGATGGCGCCTGTAAAAAAAGAGTGAAAAGGCCTTCCTCCTCTTTTAATGCCCCATTCTTTTATCTGTACTAGTGGCTGTATTTCTTGCTATCTTCTCTCTATCTCTCTATCTTTACGTTCCACTCCATTTCGCTTTAACAATTGTGCTTTACACAATCCCTACTTATTACAGGGACTTGCTAGAATCCATTCAACCTTTGTATTAAAGATAATTTATTTGTGATGGATATTACTTTCACAGAGCTGTTTTGTTTTCTGACATTACATGTTTTACTTCAATTCAAGTTAAGTCAACATGAAATGTCATTGAAAACCATTTGTTCTGCTGTGAGATATTCAAACATTACATATGATGGGAAAAAATAAGGTCAAGATATGATCATGCCCAATAATTTAGCTAGAGATGAAGCAATTGGGTCGAAAATGGTATTGCAAACATAAAAAATAAAATAACAAAAAGAAATACAGCTTGATTTTTTTTTCGAACATAGAAGACTAATTTAATAAAGATACACACTACACTATATTTACAAAAAAAAACAAAAACAAACCAATTTTCTTTTGATGAAAAAAATTACACTATATTGAAAAAAAATAAAAATAAAAATAATGCTAAACAGACAGACAAGCAAATATATAATCAAACAAAAAACAAACAAACAAACGAACAAACAAACAAACAAACAAACAAACAACCAAATGTATAATCAAATAAAAATTAACAAACAAATATAAAACCAAACAAAAAACAAACAAACAAATATAAATCAAACAAAAAACTTAACAAATATAAAATCAAACAAAAAACAAACAAAAAATATAATCAAACCATATCAAACATAATCAAACAAAAGCAAATAAACAAACACATATATAATCAAACAAACAAACAAACAAACAAACAAACAAACAAACAAACAAACAAACAAACAACTATATAATCCAACAAACAAACAAACAAATAAATATAAAACCAAACAAAAAACGAACAAACAAGTAAACAAATATATAATCAAACAAATAAACAAACAAACAACAAAGAAATATAAAATCTAACCTAACAAAACACAAACAAACAAATAAATATTAAAACAAAAAACAAATATATAAATTAAACAAAAACAAACAAACAAACAAAAACAAATAAATAAATTATATAATTGTGTAAATGTAAATTGTGTAAGTAAATTTACATTTCTATGTTCAAAAATTCCATTGGTTTACACTGACAATGAATTCACAGATTATAAATTTGTATTGTGTGCCGATTATTTGCAAATTTTAGCAATATACAATATATAACGCTTTGTATGAGCCTTGTAATGTATAATATTTCTCCATCACTGTATACAAAAGAAAACAATTGCAAAATTCTGGGCTCTGATTTATTTATTGAAAAAGAAACCTTCCTTTTCATTTATTTACTAAGGATTATGCCTCATATAATGATTTAAAGTAGTTTAACTAAGTTTACTTACAGCTGCACACACATTCTTCCATCAGTGGTGTATGCAAGTTTCCTCCCCTGTTCTGTGCATATACCCCATTTATAAATGAGACCCCTGAACTTTGGTGCACTACGAACAAAATGTATGATTCAACAACTTTAACACTACACACTTGGATATAGGTGGCTAGCAATTGCTTTAATGTCTCAGAGTCCCATTCAAGAAGTTATTCTTTCCTTGTCTATTTATTTATTCCTCCATCTCAGTCCTCCATTAACCCCATCACTACACTTCATCCCTCATCCTACATTACTCTCTATTGCTCTTCATCAATCTCAGATTTTACAATCTCATCTCTTGGCATCTCCAAGCCAACTCTGAATGTTAAAGGATGTTTGTGGCATATTCAATGTCCAGTTAAAAACACCCCATAGTCCAAATTTACTACTATAATCTATAAATGACTGAAATACATTCAGTAGATGTTTATTTTTTTTTCCTTTGCGCTCTCTCTCTCACTTCCTTTAATACAGCGCCTGATCATTTTCTCCTTTCTCCTTGCACTAAACAAGCCGTCTCCACCTTCATAACCTCTGTAAATACGTTCGCTCTCAGTGGTTTATTGGCGTTGAGTGTGAATGTGTATGGAGGAGTCGCAGAGTGTAGCTTAAAACGAGAGTTTTCAAACTCCTACCAGGAGCTGTCTGGATCAGAGGTGCGTGTTTAGAAACCCCTGCATCTCAGCCTTTTAGAGCAAACCTTTGAAATGAGCTTTTGGACCGACTCTAAGCCCCGAGCCCACCAAGATATCTATCAGAAATCCCTTTTCAAAAGCTGCCTGTAAAGAACGCTTTCAATATCTCCTGAAGAACGAGTAAAGGATGAAGCTTTGCGTGACCAGGAAAAACTTGAAAATGTCAGCAGTGGAGCTGAAATATAGTGGTGTACTGTAGTTACAAAAGTGAGTCTGCAATACTGTATGTTTTCCTCTCTGCCGAGTCCATGCGAATGTTTGAAATCAATGGTTAATTGTGTGTTGATGGCTGTAGCTACAAATTTTGGTACATTGATAAAATCCAATTACTGTTTGATTTTGCAATTCACAAAATGTCGTCGATGACCAATTTGCAAGTATTTTTCAAAGCCTTTGATAAAGCAAGTGTTAGGGTGAAGATATGAAGGTGATAAATAATGAAAGAATGCTGAAAAGACACAAGAAACAAAGAGTGAAGGCAAAGAAAGAAAGAAAGAAAGAAAGAAAAAAAGAAAGAAAGAAAGAAAGAAAGAAAGAAAGAAAGAAAGAAAGAAAGAAAGAAAGAAAGAAAGAAAGAAAGAAAGAGAGGTAATGTAATGAAAATAATAGGATAAGACAAAAGAAAAGGAAAACAAATATGCATGTGAAAATTAAAGACAGCATGAAATAACAGATGGCAAACGAAAGGAATGAAGGAAGGGCAAAATAATAGAAAGAAAGGACAAATAAACAAACTAGCAAAAAAAAAATTAAAGAACAAACAAACAGAAGAATAAAAGAAAGGATAAATGACCACATATTAAAAAATCAGATGACCAATGGACAAAGATGGGAAGAACAAACATAATCAATAAATAAATAAATAAACAAATAAATAAATAAGGCGACACAGTGGCTCAGTTGTTAGCACTGTCACCTCACAACAAGAAGATCACTGGTTTGAGTATTTCTGTGTAGAGTTTGCATGTACTTCCTGTGTTGGGGTGGGTTTCCTCTGGGTGCTCCGGTTTTCCCTACAGTCCAAAGACATGCTCTATGGGGGAATTGAATGAACTAAATTGGCCATAGTGTATGTGCATGAATGTAAGAGTGTACTGTTGTTTCCCAGTATTGGGTTGCAGCTGGAAGGCATCCAGCTTAAAAATAAAAAAAACAAACAAATGAAAGAACCAAAACGAGACAACAGAAGAAGTGATCAACAAACAAACAAACAAACTGAAAAAAATGAAATCAAAGAAGCACAAGTGAACTATTTGAAGGAGAAAGAGAAAGAAAGAAAGAAAGAAAGAAGGAAGTAAGAAAAAGAAAGAAAGAAAGAAAGAAAGAAAGAAAGAAAGAAAGGACAAAACAATAAAAACGAAGGACAAACAAAAAAATTAATTAGCAAATAATTTAAAGAACAAACTGAATAAAAGAAAGTAAGGGAAAAATGACCACATATAAAACTGAAAATAATCAGATGACCAATAAACCAAAGATAGGAAGAACAAACATAATAAATGAATAACTATATTAACAAACAAACAAACAAACAAATAAATAAATAAACGGACAAACAAATAAATAAATGAATAAATAAACAAACAAATGAAAAAACAAACGAAAGAACGAACGAACGAACGAACAAGCATTTGAACAAATGAACAAACAAATGAAGCAAACAAAGGAATAAAGAAAGAAAGCAATAAGGAAAGAGAAAGAGGGAGGGATAGATAGATAGAAGGATGTGTCTTAATTCTGAGTCACTGCCATTGGCTGTGAAATGGTCAATCTGCCTTTGAAAGGACATGATGGTGTGTAGGAGAATGTGTGTGTAAATCTCAGTCACACACACACTGATCTGCCAAATCTGAAAATTAGCATTCCGACAGCTAACGATCGGATTCAAATCACTTTCCACACATTGGGATATAAACATAGACTTTGTTTGAACTGACAGAGGGCTTTCATTCCTCTAATCTGGCTCAGCGTGGGACGAGCTCATGCATGGGCCCAGACTCCTCACTTACACCCCATTCAGCCGCCGCGAAATTACAAGCTGCAATTAGTTTGATCGGATGGAAGCAAAAGTCTACGGCACCTGCTTTTGACTTCAAAGGTCAATGTTATGATCTTTCATCATCTAAACCCATACTTTATGAGTCAGAGATGTTTCGCAGATATACACATACACACACACACACACACACATGCAGGTCTGCAGTGAGTCTGCACGTTTAATAGTGATTCGCCTCTGAATATTCATTTAGCCTGAGATCAGCTTCCTCCCACATTCAGATCAAAAGATCCAGAAGAAACGCTTTAACGTAATCCACACCTGTAAAGCTCAAGCGAGTGATTTATAATCAGCAGAGGAGGGAAAAGCTTACCTATGGATGCTGTGGCAGGGACTGGCTCCTTAGAAACTGCAATTAAAAAAACAGAATAAAACTTAAGCACAGATTTCACTCTGACACAATAATGGTAGCAAACTATTCTTTTGGGGAATAGTGCCATGTTGTTACACAGTGTTGTTATAGTTGAAGAAAACTGTGACTTATAAAAGCTAAAACAGACAAAGCAGGGTTTCTACAGGTTTTGGTGGATGGATGGACAGTCAGAACGATGGATGGATACTATGGATACTATTCTAGATATAGATAGATAGACAGACAGACAGACAGACAGACAGACAGACAGATAGACAGACAGACAGACAGACAGACAGACAGACAGACAGACAGACAGACAGACGGATAGATAGATGGATGGATGGATGGATGGATGGATGGATGGATGGATGGATGGATGGATGGATGGATGGATGGATGGATGGATGGATGGATGGATGGAACGGCAGATAGAGTGATAGAATGAATGAAAGAAAGAATGACAATGACAGACAGACAGGCAGGCAGACAGACAGACAGACAGACAGACAGACAGACAGACAGACAGACAGACAGACAGACAGACAGACAGACAGACAGACAGACAGACAGACAGACAGACAGATAGATAGATAGATAGATAGATAGATAGATAGATAGATAGATAGATAGATAGATAGATAGATAAATAGTATGGAAGAATAGTATGATAGATAGTGATCGAACAGTAGACAGATAGGTAAAATGTTCAATTCTATGATTTAATCGCTTTCATGCCATTTAAACCCACTGAGATCTCAGGTATGTTATCTTTCCTCCAGGGGTAAACGAATATATTCAAGCTTCAAAAGCAAATAAAAAAAATATATATTATAATTGTCATAAAAGTAGCTCAAAGCTGTATGACAGCATCTGCATTGTATCCCAGGTCTCCGTGAGTTCATGAAAGAGCAAATCTTTCTTTTGAAGCATTTATTTTCTATAAACCAGTTAGTAAAAGTTCACAAAAGCAGTTTGATTTATTCAGTTATTGTGTCTGGTACAGTCTGTTTTCATTGTGTCCTTTTTTGAAGCTTCTTCATCAAGGATATGTGTTCCATTCCACAAATAAAGATTTGAAATGACATGAAGGTGAGCAAATAATGAAAGAAGTTTCTTTTTTTGGTGAACAGTAGCTTTCAGAAACGATTTTGCAGATGTCTTTTTTTATAGCAAACTTCTTACAGTAACCTTAGAAACCTGGCTCAAAGTGACGAGCTTTAAGCATGGTAAAATGTACTACATATCACTAAACGTACTGCCAACTGAAAGTATCGTCAAATTAGCAAAGATACTAACTAAACAATGAACAAGCCACATTATATGGTTCAAAGCTACTAACTAACGAACTACCGGTTCAGCTATTTACTGTAAATATTATGAATATAGACAGAATTATATACCTGAGTAGTATGAGTTGAGGAGGGTTTTACTTTGAATGGCTTTGCCTTGGATGGAGAAAGAGCAGGGAGAAGAAGAGGCTGCAAAACAGAGAAAGAGAAAACTGTTAATCGATGACCTTACACACACACACACACACACGCAACAGAAAAAAAATCACCATATGATGTGCAGATTAATAGCAGTATCACACAGTATCACTATCATCCCTATGAACAAAAAGCAGACAGATCTCGCTAATCAACTGCACTGTGCAGTAGTCAACAAGACCTTTAAATGCCATGGACTATTTCCAACACATTATTATTGACTATTATTCAACACACATTTCCTACATCAGTGTGTATTATTCAAAATTACATTTTGGTTTCTCTAAACTGCATCTGTTATGCTATTTTAAAAAGTATTCTATAATAGATCATAAAACACTTATATCAGAATATACTCTGTAGCATCAGCCCTTCTCTCACAGTGTCTGAAACAGCTGATGCTATGATCCAGTTTCTCAAAACTAGAGCTGAATGATTCATTGAAATGAAATAGAAAATGCGGATTTAATGTGGATTTATGCAGAATTATTTTTTGTACAAATCCATCTAGAGCCACTTATTTGGTAAACAAAGGAAGTCTATGATATATTATATGAACTAAAAGACAGAACATATTACTTTATAAACCGTATTGTAAACAAATCAAACAAACACTTTCATATTAGCCAATAACATTACTGAAATTAATTTAAAAACTGAATAAATATAAATGTACAAACATTTACACAAGTTAATAAATAGTCCCAATGATGGGCTAAAAATCTGCGAATTTCTGCGCACACAGATTCCTTGTTGGCCTACACATGACTATGGCCAGACAGAATCTGCAAACATTTTTTGGTCACACTTTACAATGTTCATTAGTTCATGTTAATTATTGCATTTACTAACATGAGCTAATAATGAACAATACATTTACTACTGTATTCGTTCATGTTAGTTAATGTTAGTTAATGAAAATACAGTAGTTCATTGTTAGTTCATGTTAACTCATGGTGCATTAACTAATGTTGACAAGCGTGGACTTGGATGTCAATAATGCATTAGTAAATGTTCAGTTATGGTTAATAAATGCTTTACATGTGTTATTCATGATTAATTCATGTTAGTAAATCCATTAACTAATGAACCTTATTGTAAAGTGTTACCCTTTTTTTTTTTTTTTGCTCTTTCTGCGCAGAATATTGTGAAAAACGATTTTGCAAGTATTTTAACTAAAAATGTAATATGTTAAATAAAAAATAATACCTTTTTTACTTTTATTTAATGTTTACAAATCTTATTAGATCCATTTATTTGGCAAACAAAACATGTTTTTCATATAATATTGTAAGAGGCTAAATTATCATATGCATTTGTTTATATGACAAAACAGGGTTAGGTCTATAATTACTCCAAAGGCAGATACTGATAAGATCAGGGCCTGATATGTGGACTTTGGGGATTTTACAATGTGGTCACATGTTGATTGGTCAGTTTGAATGTCTCAGCATTTGGGCTTTAGTCACATGGTCAAGAAGATACAAAATAGGTGTAAAACTCTGCTCTGTCTTTTTTCCTGCCCTGTATTTTCCTGCTCTGCTTCTCTCCTCCTCTGGAGTATATCTTCTCAGACTCTACTGCAATCAGGCTAACTTCTGGGCCTGCTCTCTTTGTCTCTCTCTCCCTCCCCCTGTGTCTCTCCTTCTACCTCTGGTAACTTTAATTTTACATTTAAGCTGGGTACAATTATATCTTATGTTTTATCATTTCATATTTGATCATTTTATACACTCATTTTGTTATTAATTCAGTTGTAACCACAGCAAGTTATTGTCAATAAATCATTTCATTTTCAAGTATTTGTGAATTACTTTTGAGTTAACATCAACACTTAATTGCTCCATATTGCAATACAATACAATCACATAATATTAACACTCTCCCACATTCATAGCTATTAGCACTACCCTTATTTCCGTTTTTGGTAAGAGATTGCAGAAGAATGGTTTAACTAGAAATGTACAGTTGTTTACCATCAATACTGATAACTTTTTAGTCATTCGGCAGAACTATAGTTCGAACCGCTCTGATTAAAACCCATTCTTACAATAGATCTACCATATATCTACTAAAAGACAGAAATAATTTCTTTACAAACTATACTGTAAGTAAATCATACAAACGTTTTCATATTAGTCAGTAATATAACTGAAATTAATTTAAAAATGGAATAAATGTAAATATATTCACATTTACACACAACTATATAAATAGACTCAATGATGGGCTAAAAATCTGCGTGCACAGATTCCGTGTGGGCCCATACATGACTCATCCGGGCCTGAACTACAGTGTTTGATAATCTAAGTAGACGGTGTTCAAAAGACCAATGAGCACCAAAGATTAGCATTGTGAAAGCTAGTAAGAAACCCATGTAGGTTTGTAAAGGATTACACATTTCTGGGTGTTCAGAATTCTTTCTTTCAGTTGGGAGACAAAAAAAAAGTATCCTGAACTTTAGTCTTCGCAAAACTTTTACATTCACAAACAGCAACATTACACAATACATGAAAGGTAATACCAGGAAAAAAGCATACTATAGGTGTACTTTAAGACTCACTCGCAGGAGGACTTTTATGTTTGTAAAACTAGCTGATGCACTAGAGTAAATGTAAGTCACAGAAACACACTTCCAGGGCTTCACACACTCCAGTAACCTTCCTTTACTCATCTCGGCTGGAGCCTGTATCCTTTTTACTTTCCATTTTAATCACCTATCACTTTTACACAAATCCCCGCGTCTCACATGTGTCGGCGCATACGCATTTGCTCACACAAGGATCTGTACGGAAAATGCTTTCACAGCAAAAAGCTTGTGGGCCAGTGAGGTGAGATGGAGAGCGTCTGAATGAGAGAAGCATGGAAGGTTAGAGCTAGGTGTCTCTGTGTTCATTTAAATGGTAATAGAGCTAAAATGCTGAGTGTGTAGGCTGGCATCGCTATGATCTCTATCTGACACATCTTATGGAGAATCGTCTTCAAAAAGCCCTGATATGTAGAAAGGAAAAATAATAATGTCTGATTGTAAGTATGGCGATGCTGAGAAGAAGGTCTGGATATAAATGAAAAAAAATGTCAATTTACACCGAGAGACATAAAGGCCTGTTCAATTTTAGTCCCAACAGAAGAAGCTTTACAGATTGGAAGCCTCGACATTGCTAAAGTTCAACACATTCTCCACTCTAAAGATTTTCCAAGTCAAAATCATCACAAAAATGTAGGGATAAGATTGTGTTGTTGCCTTGATGTGAATGTGTGAAAATATAAATAAATCATTAAATAAAAAATAAATAAATAAATAAATAAATAAATAAATAAATACATTACCAATAATTTCAACATTTGACATTCAATTTATTTTTTTATAAATAATTCTTATTTTTATTTTTTATAAAAAAAAATAAAATGTAGTTTATGTAGTTCTTATGTAGTTTATTCCAAAACTATTAACCTATTTTTTTTTTCCAAATTTGGAAATTTCAGAGCCATAAGAAATGGAATGACATTGCAAAAATAACTAATTATAAGCAAAATAATAATACTTAAATAATTATAGTAATGTTAAAAAACAAATATATAGTACAAATCAAATTGAAGAGTATTATATGAGTAAATCTCTCTTTAGATTTCTTTAAGACGAAAACTATAAGAAAATTATAGCTATATCTAAACAAAATTACTGTCAAAAAGTTTAGCAACTTCAACATAGAATTTACCCATCGCAGCTTTAAAGCTTTACATAACAGTGTATGATCTGTATTTATAGGCATTTGATGCTGTTTTATGCATGTTATGATTTTGCCACGTATGATGTGATCCTGGATTAACATCTATCAACAACCCAAAAAATCCCCAATTTCATATTAAATTAAATATTATATTAAAGTAACTAAATATATTCATCTGGAGTTGTTTCATTGTAAATAAGCAGTTAAACTGTCAGTAATATTAATAATAATAATTATTATTATTATTAATATTATTATTATTATTATTATTATTATTATTATTATTATTATTTAATAAATAGTTTACATTAGAAAAAGCTGCAAATAAATTAGCAAACCGTTTTAACAATTAAAATGAATAGCTGTTATAAAGAAATAGAACCAAGGTATCAAATCTCATTGATATTTTCTTCACTGTATCATTTAAAAAATCTGATTAAAGAGCAGCGAATGAATCTCTCATTTACATTTTTCATTTGATTACATTAAATAACAGAGGTACTACTTTAAAAATGCAAACATCTAACATTATAATGAAAGCATTCGATTGCTTTCCTAACTTTTCATGCTCATTTAAGACAAAATTTGTTTTTTAAAAGAAAACCCAACCAAAAAATCGATATCTTTAGATATAATAATAATAATAATAATAATAATAATAATAATAATAATAATAATATTTATTATTATTATTATTATTATTATTATTATTATTATTATTATTATTATGCGTATATGTCTGTTTAAACCAAATAAACACACACCCAAAATCCAGACTTTCTCTTCACTTCAAATCGCGTATACAGAACTCATATGGCAAACAGCATCTACTTATCACTATGGAGCGCGTCAGCTGACAGTCACACTTTTTGACATGTAGTCACCGCTACATGACTGTTTTTACAATTGTATAGGAGGGGCAACGGCTCCTGTAACGGAAAGGAAGAGAATCCCTCCAATTTTATATTTATTCCAAAGTGTTTTCATACCTAAATAAAACGAATACACAGAATGGATTCACATTTACGAGCGAGGGGCATCTACTGGTGGTTTAAACGGTATGGGTTGCATATAGGGAGGATTGGCTCTTTATTGCCACCCTTCATAGAAAGATTGAAAATACTGGGAGAACAATAGAAAAATACCTTTATGGGATGATGGCGGGAAAGAAATGTAAAATACAAGATAATCCCGGGAAAAATGGGAGGGTTGACAGGTATGCCCTAAACCCAACCATAACTGTAAATAATTCCCAAAATC